ATGGATAAGAAAAATGGATGGAAGAAAGGTTGGATGGATGGATGGATGGATAAGAAAAATGGATGGAAGAAAGGTTGGATGGATGGATGGATGGAGGCATGGAGGCATGGATGGAGGCATGGAGGCATGGAGGCATGGAGGCATGGAGGCATGGAGGCATGGAGGCATGGAGGCATGGAGGCATGGAGGCATGGAGGCATGGAGGCATGGATGGATCAGATAAATTGATGGATGGCCCTTATCAGAATAAACTTACTTCTGTTACAACTGATGTAAAATCGTCAGTGAATTTCCAATCGCTCCTATTCAAATCGCACCGTAGTTTATATCCGTCCATTCCTGGTTTCAATTCTCCTTTCAATGAACATGTGATGTTGTTCACGCAAACCCAAGGAGGCTCAGCTGCTACGAAGGTCAACAGCATGACTTGGAAGCCGACATTAACCCATTCAATCAAACTGAGAACTAAGATAAGACGAATCTGGTACAGTCCAAAACTTCCTACTTTTTCCAAGCATTGATCAATAGTCAGACCTGCCATCCTAGTAAATGAAAAGGGAGAGAAAGTCGTAACGATGAATTTAGATTTTATGGATAATAAATAAGATATCAGTTACTCAGGGTTAGCCTTGCATGACTTTGTCAAGAATATTCACATGTTCCAGTGAAGGCTTGTGAAATTCAAATTGCTGAAGTTCTTCGTTATTTACTTAACCGTTGGTATTCGTGAAGATTCTGAGGCGAAAAGAAGGCTAGCCCCGAGTAAATTAGTCTGTAATTAAGAAACGCAGTGGTATTTTACAAATTCAAAAATGGCGTATTAAAGCGTATTTAAATATTTGTATCGCCTGGATTTGAACCTCCCATGGGCGATCGTAGACCGGGTAGCATAGTGCAAGTCGCACAGTCTAGAGCGCGTCATGCCAGAGTCGAGAGTTCCCGCCGAATCCACATGAACTACGAAAAGCATATGGTGTTTTAGAGCAGAGCCATCTTTCGACACAAGGCGACCACATAGTGGAATTATGTGTCTTGTATGCTTTGTTTTATGAACCTAAAATAAATATCCTAAATTACAACTGTTATTCCGGCTGTCATTGATAAACACCCTAAGACGAGTACTATATACGCTGCTTGTAGATGTCTCAGCCATACGGAGGGGAAGAAAAACAGACTCTGCTCGAAAGGTAAATAGTCTAAATAGAGGTCATAATGAGAGATAATAATGTCATCACAAAAGAAATTATGCCGGAAAAATTAAACGTGCAGATGAAGTTTTTTTTTTCATTATCGCTTTGACCTTTTCTCTGATTGAATTCACTCGGAGGAGGGGCTCAAAGAAGGGGATCAAATTAAAAAATCCGCCATCTTGTTTTTAGCTCCCAAAACGCCCAACCAAAAGAAGAAAAAGAGAGAGAGAACAAAAACAGCATTACTTTTTAATTTTTACAAAAATAGAAAAAAAATTGGGAAATAGCCGCATGAATTATAAAAATTCGCCATTTTGTTCCCATGAAGGGGGTGGGGGGCTCGCTGGCCCTCTTGGCTCCCCCTGCCTACACCCCACTATGTCCTGTCACAGATCAGCCCTATTGAAAATCTAGTATTTCAAGTACGTCAAGGTATACAAACGGACATGGTCTCTTGACCTTGTTTGCTTGCAAGAACTTGCACCGGACCTCACAACACGTGACCTAACATTTACATTTCGTACAGAGGTATATATGTATATGTATATCAAAGAATCTAAACACTTTCTTTGTGCAAAAAATCTTTAACGATTTCTTGCCATCTTATCAATGTCATTTATCATTTATATTTAGCAAAGTTGAACAAAAATACTAAACTTTACTAAACTTTAAGCCCTGGGGGGATAATTGACCCGGTGATGCAAAATCGAGTCTTGCTTTTACCATAAAAATAAACAGTAAAGAAGATATAGACATTACATCTCATCTTCTTAGGGACGGACTATTAGATAATTGAGGAGGGGGATGCGCTAGTCTCCAAAAAATATCGACCAAGCACGTGACCTATGAAAAACTATCGCGCAACCTCTCCTTTCAGTAGAAAAAATATCAAGCAAACACAAGAATGGTGCAGGGATCGATATCTGATGCTCAAATATCGAATGGTGACCGAATGCCCGCCGGCCATAAACATTAATCAAACCCCGTGATACCAAAATGAAACAAAAAGACTTGGAAATCAAGAAGCGAAGCAGCTACCTTTGAATAAACACAATTATATATAACACGATGAATATATGTTTATAGCCAGCCGGGGCTTCGCAAAAACCCTTAGAGAGAAACAAGACGAGACATCCCCGCTGTGCCACGAGCAAGATAGTACCAAAATCACAAGACTCGTATTGAATTACTATGCCTCTAGTTTTAACAAACACCTATTTCAAAAGATACTGAAGCGATAGGTGAAAAGCTATAGGAGATCATAGGTCATTCCGAGATCCAAGAATATCTGGAGCTCATGACTTGTGTTTCTGCTCTTTATTCTCGTCAAAAACATGGACAGTCAGCGTTGAGACAGACACGGTGATCTTCGACATCGCATTTTATTGAAATAGGTGTATTTTAGCTGTACTCTTGTTCGTATCTTATTCTATTCCTTTTTTCAATGTTCTCAGGCAAATCTGTAATTGATCAGTAAGTCCTTAATTATGCGCTCTAGCCCTTGGAAGATTTGTTTAAGCGAGACAAATTACTTATCACGTAATAAAGTAATTTCTAGCATGATTAGAATTGTAAGATATACACCACAAGTTACGGGTTCGAATGCTTGTTTTTTAGCCGCTACCAAGGTCAGTTCCTCTCGATCATTCAGTATAAGCATAGTTAATCGAGGGGACTCGATTAACTATGGTATAAGCCGGTGAGAACGAAGGTGAGTGTACCTGAAGGACAAGTCCCTGTGAACTTCGCTTCAAAATATCATTCAGGCCAAGTTAAGGTATGCCCCAAGACTCTCGATGACTGTCCAAGCAATTGCAAAACCACAATCTTCAAAAGGATCAAATTAGAGACTATTGCATTTACTCTCGCTGCATGAGAAGCGCGAAAACGTTTTATTTAGTTAGTTTTAGAATAACTTACCTGAATGAAGTAGATATAGAAAATACTCCTGTCTTTGCTGACCGACTTGTCGCGTAAATATCCTTCACTTTATGTCAGATCTCTTTAGATAAGTATCATTTTTCAACCGGTTAGGACATCCGAGGAATTTATATCATCAGTTAGTTGCACAGATCTTGCTTACGCCGGTTTTCCATCACGCGAGCTCAATTGTAGCCTCCTTTGCAGCCCGAGGGGGTACTCCCACATATGGACTATACGGGGATGATCCGCTGAACAGGGTATGGTTTTTCAAGCTTCTTGTCATAAACAGGGTATGCAAATTCGCTCAAGTTCAAATTTTTTTCCTGAGTTTCCTGTCATATTCAGGGTTTCTCCTTTTGTATTGACCGAAACTGGTTATTATGGTCGTAAAAAACGATAAAACGATACGCGAGATGACATTATAATTGAAACAGGAACTCTGTGCAATGAATTATATCTTTTGTCATAAACAGGGTCTACAAATTTGAGTTTTGTTTGTCATAAACAGGGTACCCCTTTCAGAATCCCATCGGAACACCCCTACCCAAATCCTGGCGGAGTACCCCCCCCCCCCCGGGCTTTGCAGCCGTTCTTAGGGTCGTCTATAACGTTTTCCAGTTCTGTAGAACTACCTTGCTATATAGCTTTTCTTTGTTCAGCTACTTCGAGAGAAAAATGTGTAATTGCAAAACCCCATGCAGTCCAGACGAGACAGATATTAATTTATCGAATTTCAGTATTTCAGAACTGCGTGCGTTCTGCAAATTGCATCCCTGTCGAAGTCATCCGTATCCTGCTGCCGGAATTATCTAACTTGTTCTAAAAACTAGCAGCAGGGTAGATCATCCGGTCGTGAAAACAGCCCATCATGAGTTATCAGCACATTCCTATCTCAGCAAAAGGAACGAACCATTAGATATTTGGGGGGAGGGGATGGGGCTGCGTGAATCCCCCAAAAAATATCGAGCTCTTCACCGACGAAAAACATAGCGCCCAACCTATCCCGCCTTTCAGTAAAGAAACATCGAGCAAACAAAACAAAAAAATGCGCGCAGGCGGTTGTTCTTAAAAATAAATATCATGTAACATAAATTCCTGGAGTGCAGGATGGTGTAAGGTCAGTGGTGCAGGATGGATAACGGTTTGTCAGCAAGTTGGCCATGGTAATCGGATTATCGAGATTTATTCACTTTATAGGCCCTTGACCACATGACAAAAAACAAGCATTAGGTTACTTCAACTGTTTGAAAGAATCTCTCTGTCTTCAGTCCCTTCCAGGCCCGGGGGGGGTTCTCTTGCCTGTTTAGGGTAGGGATGTGCCGCTGAGCCCTCTGAACCTTGACCTTGTTCCAGAGTTTCTGGTTACCCCCCAAAGACGCAAAGGATTATGGGGATGCGAAAGTAGAGAATTGAATGTTTTTTGCCAGTAGTTGTCGAGTACTATAATATTAATAAAGCCGTGCGATTTTATCGTGAGGTCAAAGTAGGCCACTGCAGAGGAATATATAAGAAAACAGATTAATCAAACCTTTTCCTGTATTGGCATGCCTGACCTTGGTATATACACTAGAAGGTCATAGGGAGGTTGAAATGCATCCTGAAAAACCAGATGCCACAGGTAGCCCAAATACAATGTTTATTCATTGCTAGTCGCTAAGGATTCACTCATTCCAGAGGAGGGTGATCAAGTGGCACGTGACCTAATCGACCAATCACAATCATGATCATAGGCAACAAAAAATATCACAAGAATTTCATAGTCGTCGTAAAGAATCATTACTTTCCCCTCATATTACTTATCATAACCTCATATTTTTTAAGTGTCGCATGGATTAATGGCAGTGATTCTTGTACACCAAGTCTCGTTTCCAGTCCCCCTACGCCCCCTGCCTTACCACCTACGCCAAATCCCCCCACCCCCACCCCCTCACTCTCTAGTAAAATATAGAAGGTTTCCAAAGCACAAGTGCTAAAAGCAATTTCAATACCGATCAGTTTAATGAATTTTGTTCATTCATACTCAAGGATACATTTTGAGTAGTGTAACAGACATGCGCATGTATCATTCTGATTATTAGATCCTATGTAAATGGCAATCGAAGGAAGAAGAATCCACATTGGTACACATCTAAAAAATAAAAGAAGCAAAACTTTTTTCGTTTGTCGTAACAAATTTAACAAATTTAACAAATTTAACTTTTTCGAATTCGTAAAATAACGCCGTGTGACTTGACCACACTACTCTTCGAAAATGGAGTATTTGGAACTTACCTTCAGCACAGCTTACATGTCTTCCTGCAGAAGTAGGCATGAAAGTTTTTACACGTTCCTGGTTTGGAGCAGATTTTTTGCTTAATGAGATCTTTACATTCCTCAGGAGTATCTAAAAGCATTAAAAATAACCTATCCAGTTATTCCAAGATCCGACTGGAGCTATTAGAAAATTTTGTTCCTCATTGGCCAACAATTAGGAGACGTGGTAATGAGTGAAAACCTTATCTTATACTCATTATATATTCATGCGCTCATCGACCAACCAGGGTTTCTTATTTGTACCACGTGCAGTAGTTTGAAACCCCCATCAAATACCACCGCACCAATTTCAAAGTTCTAGTACTTTGAAATATTTCGAAGTCCTACTACTCGGACTTTGAAATACTTCAAAAAAAAGTACTAAAACTTTGAAATAAAAACAAACATAACGAAAAGAGTATAAGATGTCGTGTCAAATACTCGTCACTGTATTCTATTAGGGTTTCAAAATCCTCTTGGAATTTCAAATGCCTCGGCGTAGGATTTTGAAACCCCAATAGAATACAGCAGCTCGTATTTGAAACATTACATCTAGATCTAATGTTAGATAACAATAAATGCAAATATTATTTTATTTCCCACTTGTGTTAATATAAATTATTTCTTATCCTTTTTTCTCTATTCTTGATTCCTTTTCTACTAACAATTCACACTCATGATTGTAAGCTGGACGGCTGCCATGGCGCCTAAATACGCAGCCTGTAAAGTCCTCCACTGGTTATAAAGCGCATCGAGATATTTGAAATGCGCTATAGAATTAAGTACCCCATTATTATTATTATTATCATTATTATTATTATT